GGGGGGGGGGGGGTAGGAACATATATTTCAGGTCGTATCAGGCAGTGCTAATTACTTGTCTCCTCTGCAGCTGGCGTTTAAGGTCGTCAGGTAACGTTACATGAGCAAACAATGGCCTCTAGTCTTCAAGTCCAGCACGCTAACGGACGGACGATTGCCCAACCCCAACCCGGGGGAGGGGGATTTGGGCAATTTTACTGGACATGAAAGTTTTTTCTCACCTTAATTATAAGGTTTTACATGATTGTTTTGGTGGGCAACAGCTTGAGCAAGAACTTTTTAAAAGTCCAATACAGGACCTGAATATCAGAAAGCAATTGCTCGATTGTTTTTTGTTCAAGGCTCCTCCTTGCACGATATTTTTCAGCCGTTTTTGCTGTGCAGGATTGTGTTTTTGGAAATTGTCCAACCTCTCCTCAAAAAAATAATGGTTCGTCCCTAAACACACAATGCACGCTACCTCCTTAAAAATATTAATGAACATACAAGTAAGTGTCTGGAAGTGGATGCAATTTTTTTAAAAAAAAATTCTAAGGAGACTTTTAAAGCTGGACATACTTTACTGTTTTCCAGTTCTGTTTTGAGATCCTGTTCTTTCTTCTTTAGCTCTGATTTTAGTTTTTTCTCTCGTTCAATAACTGTCTCAACTTGCTTTTTGAGCTCCTGAAAAACAGAACTCAACAACATCACTCATGTACTTTTCCTCATGTACATTTCCTTGCATCCTGCATTAACTAAGCCTGGTTTTCAGCACAAGTATAATGGTAGTGTAGACGCCCACAACACAAGCATAACCACGTACGCATGCGCAGAATTGATAATTGCCTTATATTCGATTTCATACCTCCCCGATACTTCAAAACAATATGGCAGACTTATGCTTATGCTTATGCTTACAGCAGCGCGTTCTCACTTGACATAAGCACAAGCACAAGAAGAACAAAAACGTTAGTTCTACTTACAAGTGCCTATGTCTGTGTTGTGGGCACTCTTACTGCAGCTATGCTTATGCTTGTGCTTGTGCTTTCATGTATGTTGCAATGAAAACCAAGCTTGAAATCTGCGCAAACCTAACATTGCTGACCTTCGATCACCAGTCACGACACATAAACTGTACATTCAAGCATTATTTAATTGGGCCAATCAACTGTCAAGTTCTAAGCAGTGAATTCACCTTTTTCTCCAGAATTAAAGGGTTGTAAAATTACACCAGTTGGTCCAATTCAATGAAGTGGTTACCATGTATAGTGTACCTGGTTTTCAAGGAAATTAACTTTGACTTCTTCCTTTAAGTCTTGAATAAGATTTTCTCTCTTTGCATTCTCCGCAACAGCTGTATCAAACTTCTCCCTCAGTTCAGTGAGTGACTTCACCAGTTTCTTCCTTTCTGCTGTCAATTCTTGTATCTGTTTGGTGAGCTACAAAGGAAAAGAAATATCATCTATCCGTGTTAATAAAATTCATGTAAGCTTGCTTTTCATCTGTTCCCTTATTTAGTACAAAACTGTGTCAAAACATTGTCAAATCAGTAGTGGATGACACAGGGAACGTATAAAAATGAATCTACAGGTACATGCATTTGATTTAATTCAATTTTAATTTTTTTAAAACTTCCTGTCATTTCAGAAACCAAACGTTAACAACGCACTTTTGGACCAACTGAAACTTGCATTATAGTCTATACATCTGGCCCACGCTAATTAATTCAGACTCGGTTATTTCGAATTTCCCATTATTTCGAAGTCAAAACAATTTCCCTTTGATAGTCCCTCCAGTCATTTACTCTCGGCTACGTTGAACTCCCGTTTTTTTCGACCTATTTCTTCATTTCTCCTGAGAGTTCGAAATAGCGGGGTTGAACTGTATTTTAGGGGTTTTGGATCTTGCTGTCACAGCAATACATAGAAAATATTACATGACCACGCGGAGATACGAAATTTCTCTTCAAAGATTTCCGAAGATTTCCGACCACTTTCCGAGGATTACCTAAGGATCTCGAAATAACGTTGTGCAAAGGCCACACGAACGCTTCCGAACATTTTCCAAAAATTTCCGAAGATACATGTAACCAAAGATTGTCGAAGACTTCCAGGGAAGATTCGAAAATATTTCGATAATACACCAACAGATTTAAGTACAAAAATGATATCAAATTTATGATATCACACATGTGTGGATAAAAACGATCTCGTCACGTGGGAAAGCGTTTTTATTGATTTCGTACCACTCAGTATACAACTTAATTGTATGTAATAAAACCCTTCATTCCCTTATCACATACCTTTGTTTGCTCTTCGTCATTCTCGTTTGATGATTCTGAATTCTTCTTTGTACTCTCCATAGCTGAAGTCAAATCCTCAAGTTGACCTTTTAGCCCCTTGACAAAACAAAACAACAAATGTTAGAATTCAAAGTATAATAATATAATTACATAATCTCTCTCTAATTTCTGCAAGTGTTGCTGGTCAAGAATCATAGGTAGCGCATAGAAGTAGTTGCTTACATTAATGTTAAGAACAAATAGTTTTATGGGATCACAGTGAAAGTGCAATTCTTTGTAAAAGAACTGAACTTCACTTAGTATGATTTAGGGATTAATGTGCCCACAGACCAATGGTTTTACTGAAAAAGCTTCATGATGGCCTAAGAATCTCTACTTAAGCATATTCAGATGGCTTTAAGGTAAAGTCTGCACACGAGCCAAGTGGCCCAGCAGATCAGTGCTTATCTCCGGTTTCTATAGCATGAAGCAAGTAAGAGTATTTCTACTCCTTCCTGGATGGGAGCTAGTCCATCACAGGGTTACCCCAACATTAAATTTGCCGGTACTCATTTATACACCTAGGTCAAGAGAGGCACTGTGAGAGTAAAGTTTCTTGCACAAGAACACAACACAATGACCCTGGCCAGGGCTCAAACCCGGACAACTCAATCCAGAGACAAGCACACTAACCATGAGGCCACTGCACCTCCACAAGATGACCTTAATCTTCCTGTATTTACACAGGTAGTTTTGGTACATTATAAAAATTCAGGTTTTCTATTTCTTTAAATTACCTCATTTTCTTTCACTATCTTGTTATGCTCCTCTTGTAGAGACTTGAGTGAGAGACTAAGCTCATCCTTTTCGAAGACAACACATTCCAATTGTTTCTTTGTTGCCTGAGATTGTGAACCAAATCATACATAAACAAACTGAACATGTAACAACAGTAACAGACATACCGATTACTGAAAAAAAAAATGTCGAAAGCATTGAAAGCTACTGGAGAAAATTAGCCCCTGGTTAATGACAAAGAAAACAAGGAAATAAGCCACCATGGGGATATAGCTAAGGGACGACTGTTGGCTTATTTCATTGACTGAAAGATAGCTTATCACTAGCTGACATTACCTTCATTGCAAAAGGTAAAAGTAAGTTAAGTCTGCATACCAGCCAAGTGGCCCATCAAGCCAGTGCTTATCTGTTTTCTGTAGCAAGAAGCGACTGGGAACATTTCTACTCCCCGCTGGATGGGATGCTAAATGTACTCCATCAAATGTTACCCCCAGCATTACAATTATACACCTAGGTGGAGAGAGGCACTGTGAGAGTACAGTGCCTTGCCTAAGAGCAAAACAAAATGTTCCTGGCCAGGGCTCGAACCCAGACCACTCAATCCAGAGGCGAGCACACTAACCATGTGGTCACTGTGCTTCCACACTTTCATTTAAGAAATAAAGACTGATAATAGGTAATGTTTTGGATGCAAACAGGTCACAAAAAACCAGCTGGGCTTTTTAATGAGCCTGCTTACATGTAGTTTTCTCTTGGCCACGTCCCTACTGCTTGCACTCATAACTATTACACCATGTAGTATTTAATAAATTAACATGTTAGAAGAGGTAAGGTGTTTTCCCAAGAACAAAAAATAGCAGAGACTCAGTTGCTGAATGTATCCAGTGGGTTTAAATGCTGGCTCAAGCCATTGCTTTGTGTTCTATAACAAGATACTGAAATATTCTGCTCACCTCATTGCTTTCTGCAGTACTTCTGTACTGTTGCTGAAGACCAGTGACAGAGTCTTTCAACACTTCATTTTCCACAAACAGTTTCTGAAATTCCTCCACTGTTTCCTTTAAATACAAATACAATGAAGAAACATGATTANGAAGCAAATCATACATAAACAAACATGTAACAACAGTAACAGAAATACCGATTACTGAAAAAAAAAATGTCAAAAGCATTGAAAGCTATTGGAGAAAATTAGCCCCTGGTTAATGACAAAGAAAACAAGGAAATAAGCCACCGCAGAGATGTAGCTAAGGGATGACTGTTGGCTTATTTCATTGACTGAAAGATACCTTATCACTAGCTGACTTTACCTTTATTGCAAAAGGTAAAAGTAAGTCTGCATACGAGCCAAGTGGCTCATCAAGCCAGTGCTTATCTCTGTTTTCTGTAGCAAGAAGTGACTGGGAACATTTCTACTCCCCCCTGGATGGGATGCTAAATGTAGCCCATCAAACGGTTACCCCCAGCATTACAATTATACACCTGGGTGGAGAGAGGCACTGTGAGAGTACAGTGTCTTGCCTAAGAACAAAACAAAACGTTCCTGGCCAGGGCTGGAACCCAGACCACTCAAACCGGAGGCAAGCACACTAACCATGTGGTCACTGTGCTTCCACACTTTCATTTAAGAAATAAAGACTGATAACAGGTAATGTTTTGGATGCAAACAGGTCACAAAAAACCAGCTGGACTTTTTAATGAGCCTGCTTACATGTAGTTTTCTCTTGGTGACGTCCCTGCCGCTTGCACTCATAACTATGGCACCATGTAGTATTTAATAAATTAACATGTTAGAAGAGGTAAGGTGTTTTCCCAATGTATCCAGTGGGTTTGAATGCTGGCTCAGGTCATTGCTTTGTGTTCTATAACAAGATACTGAAATATTTTGCTCACCTCATTGCTTTCTGCAGTACCTCTATACTGTTGCTGAAGACCAGTGACAGAGTCTTTCAACACTTCATTTTCCACAAACAGTTTCTGAAATTCCT